AAAGCCAGATGTTTTTGAGTGTATGTGTTGGGGGGGAGAAAGAGTGAGTGAGTGAACGAGAGAGAGAGAGAGAGAGAGCAACAGAGACAGAGAGACAGAGGAAAGACATAAAGACAGAGCTGGCCACACACACAGTGACTGACGATGGGTCACAGAGGGAAAGACATGCAGAGAGTCTGGCAAGAGAGGATGGGAGACACAGAACATGGAGAAAAAGGAAGACACATTGGTTGGGCTGTTGTTCCACACAGCCACCCAGGCCTTCTCACATGTAAGGAGAGAAGATGGAGTCATATCAGAAGAAAAAAGAGCTAGAAGACACAACATGAAGAGGCTGAGGAGGAAGCCAGGGGCTCAGCTTGTGTGGATGGCTTCCTCTGTTCTCTCTGAGGGCCACAGACACATTGCTGGGTTTGAAGCCTAGAATGCCTTTCCTTCAGTATCAAAAGCGAAGAGTGGATAAGTGGTTCATCATAGTTTCAATTTTTAATCCTTTTTATCCAAAAATTTTGAATTACATTTATTGATATTATGTATGTTTATGTGTATGTGTGTGTGGGGAGCATTCAATGGTGAATGTGGAAGTCAGAGGCAGCTTTCGGGAGCGCTCTCCTTCCACCATGTAGATCCCAGACTTCAAACTTAGGTCTTCAGGCTTGGCAATAAGCACCTTTACCCACTAAGCCATTTCACTGACCTTAAAAATTGTTTTTGAATTCCACTTGAATGGGTTACCTAGAGAAGCCCTTTAGGATAGAAATTGGGCCCCACTACAACTGAGACTAAGTGGCTTGTCTCCAGGCATGAAATCCTTCAGGCATAGTCCATCAGAGGTGGGACCTGCACTCTCCTTTCCTGCCTCACCTCTCTACCTGGTTCCACAACCCAGCTGATAGAACTGATAAGAGCCATCTTTCTCCTGAAAACAGTCAACACACTTTGGGACACATTTACATTAAAGCACCTATCAGTACTCAAATCTAGAGGTGCTGCCCTTCCATCGTAACTTATTGACTGGTCCCTTTCTATAGAATAGGATTGATCCCATCCTGGTGTCTTTTAGTCTAAGAACTCTATTCAGTTATCTTTGCAGGAGATCTTTTTAGAAGTCCTGAGGATTTCTGGGTGAACTATCACCTTAAGCTTTCAAACAAGGATCCAGCTGGATCTCCTGGAAAGTGCTACCACCTAGTTCAAAGCCTAAAGCCAGGTGTGCCAGGAAGCTTGGAAAAAGCCCAGGGTGTCATAGGGACCAGTCCTGCATCCAGGGGCTGCTTGATGGGCAAGCTGTGAGCAGATTGAGATGGGGTACTTTTGTGAAATCTTTTTGTTAAGAGTAAGGTGAAAAATTGAAACTTCCCTCCACCTGTCTCCTGCTCCACCCACTCCCAGCAGGCATCACTGCTCATCCCAGTAACACAGCTTGGAGAATTTAGCTTTTTTTTGAGACAGGGTCTCCCTGGAGCCACAGCTGGCCTAGATTCGCTATGGAGACCGGGCTGGCCTCAAACTCACAGAGAGCCCCCTTCCTCTGCCTCCCAAGCACTGGGATTAATGGCCTGTACCACATGCCCGACTTGGAGAATTCAGCTTTTTAAAACCAAATCAACATAGGCAACAGGACAGGTGGTGCTGTTGACCCCTGCAAGCCATAGTCACTGCTGCTCCCAGACCTTCAGGCCACCTTGTATGGGTGGCTAATGAAGGCAGAGCCACTACTTGGTAAGGGTGTTTAGGAAGTCAAAACTCTCAGAGTTCATTCAGAGCAATCCAGTTATGTTACAGATCTAATGTGCTAAACTAAAAAAAAGGGTTTTTCTCCTTATTGCAGTTGTGATTACATATGGCTTGTGAAATGGCTGAAAAGCTACTGATATTCTTCCTTGAAAACTACAGGTGTGAACTCTTAGCTTACAAAGCTTTGAAGCAGTTAAATACTTGGAAATCACTATGGTGAAAAGTTTAGCTAAAGGTCTGATTTGTACCTAGTGATATGTAATGTCTGCCTTCATAGTACTGATTTCGAAGAAAAATCTGAATTCTGCATTTAGAATTCACATTGGCTATTTGTGTTTTGTAGTCAATGCACTGTGTCACAAGCCAGACTGCACTAGGTTATGTATGGTTAATGTGTACTCAAGGAGAAAAAAATTACTAGTACTATTGAAGATATTGCAAAATTGCCACAATGACTGCTTAGAAATACTAAATTTCCTCTCTTCTTCCTTAAAGTATATGTTACAACTCTGCCATAACTTAATACTAACAAAGTAAATTCATTTCTTCTCACATCTGAAAGCAAAGATATCTTTGTTTACATGCAAGAATAATAATTCTATAATAATAGCCTGACCCTATGAACTAGTACTTTATATTAGGACATAAGAATGAAATGATAGAGAAAGAACCAGAGAGACCTATACACTGTTATTAATGCAGAATCCATTTGGAAGTTTTCTCTTGTAAAGGATAGCTAGGATAGTGAGGCGGGGAAAAAAATGACTCAGAAAACTGGGCTTCTGTTCACAAGGAAAACAAAAATAAAAACAAAGCCATTCTATCGCAAGATACAGATCAAAGGTTAAAAGGCAAATGATCTTACATTTACATAGTGATGTCATAGTTTCCTGCCCTCAGGATGGCAACATGCAAGGTGAGTTCACCATTTGCAATAGCCATAGGAAAGAACCTCATGGAAAAACCACCGACAAAAAAAAATGACTGAAAAAACCCCCGTTTCCCTTTTACAGTCTAATCATTTGGTATCCCTAAATGTTGTTCAAGTTTAGACTTGAACCATCAAAGAACATCATGCTGTCTATGTCAAGTGTTCAACAGTACCTCTCGGTAGGATGTTGTTGCAAGGCTAGCTAATTTTAAATCTGGTATGAGTAATGCAGTCAAACCTAGTTAGTATGCGAGAAAGTTGTTGCTAACGCAGGGTGAGAGGATGTGACGTCACAGCATGAACAGTCCCTGGTTGTCCCGTTGTCAGATAAACGTAGTGCATAGATCCAAGTTTCTAGTCCAGGTCTCTGGACCCCAGGAGCAGGCCTTTCACTTTTGCTGGGTGGCCTGGAAGGCCTTCAGCTCTACCTGGTACCACTCGGGGGCTTCAGGTCCACTCTTCCCTGGAGGGCTGTGGTCATAGCCATAGGCAACGGTAAGCTCCTCTTCAGCCTCCACAGCTCTCAGTGTGCGGATGCATTTGATGGGCCCAAAACGGGGGTGGACAAACCTAAACAAAAGGATATGAAATGTCATTCCCAGACCAGTCCAGGAGGTCAGAGGCAAAGGATAGCATCCCACCCACATGCCCTGGATACCACTCCTGAGTTCTCAAAGTACAAGCACAACTCAGCCAACTTCTCTTTCAGCTGGGAGCTTGTTAGACAAGGGGTATCTCAGGCCTAGGTTCATTCCTCAGTACTGTATAAACAGGCATGGTGGTGTATCCCTGTAATCTCAGCACTCAGGAAGTGGAGCAGAAGATCAGAAATTCAAGGTCATCCTTGACTACACATTAAGTTTGAGGCCAATCTGGGATACATGAGTCCCTGTCTCAAGCACAAAAGCAAAACTCCACAAAAATCTCACAATCACCCTAGGCAATGCACTGGGGTGCATTCATTATGTTTTCATTTAGTGTGTGTGTGTGTGTGTGTGTGTGTGTGTGTGTGTGTATGTGTGTGTTTCCACAACACCCATGTCACACGACAACTTGCAGGAGTTGGTTCTTTCCTTCCACTATGTGGGTCCTGGTGATTGAACTCAGGGCATCAGTCTTGGCAGGAAGTGCCTTTACTTGCTGAACCATCTCTCTGGTTACCTCAAATTTAAAACATATTGTCTTATCTTCATTTTTGACAATATTTGACACTCCATTTATAAACCAACAGTTTATGGTTAACAACTAAAACCTGTCCTTCATGAGAAATGAGATCTTGCATTAACTTGACCACAGTTTCATTCACCTGGCTGGTAGCTCAGGGATGAGGCTTAACACGGTGCATTTGGAACTGCAAGAAAGAGCCCTGGAGATTTTCAAAAGTGAAATCTTAGTATTCCAACCTATCCGTATAAAGGACATAGTATTTTCTAGCATAAAAGCAGATGGAGGCTTCCTTTCTCTCTGCTTCTTTAGTACTTCCCTGGGAAGCCTGTGAAGGGAGAGCATCTCATTTCCCTAAGTCCGTTCAGAGCCAGAAGTGGAGCTAACAAGAGCACGCTCATAGGCTGTGCTTTCCTGCCCTCTTCACTTGCACAGCACCGTGCAGAGTAGAGGAGTGCTGTCCCATTCAAGTTAATGCATACACGACAGAACCAGTGGTTTGAGAAAGAAATGAACATCAGGAATTGGTATCTGAAGTTCATATTTGGCTATTATTATTCAAGGAGGCTTCTCATTACCCCTAAATACTAAGATGTGGTTATACTGGGCTTCCAAAGAGAACAAAGAACATCAACAAAAGGACAGAAAACGAAAAACCCAAACCAAAACCTGCTGAGAAAACAGCCAGGATTTTGCACAAGTAGAAATTTCCCTTGTTTCCTGTGCTCTGTTTCTTTGGGAAGAAAAGCCATGTCTTGCACCAGACATGGTGCAAGTCACAGAACCAGCTTGATTTAAAGGAGGAGTCTGGGTGGCACTTAGGGCGGTTAGTGACCACTGCTTTATGGGGCTCTTGTTAAGCTGGCACAGCTGGGAATGATGCTTCATCCAAATTCACACTGGCTGTGAGAGTCCCGCAGCTAATAACAGTGTCAGTTTCATTTCACATGACACATGTCCTTTGCCATTTCTGCCAGCATTTTAAAAGCAGTTGGAGGGCCAATGCTTGTTATTGGCTGCCAAGGAGAGCAAGTCACTGCCAGAACGGTTTCTAAGCCATCTCAAGGATGAGTCTCAGGACATTCACAAGGAAGCTCCAAATCCTGGCAGGGTTCCTACAGACAAAATACTTAGAATCTGATCCTGGTTATGCTGACCAGCTGCACAGCTGAGGGCACTGTGGATACAGCCCAGAGCAGAGAAGAATCTGCTCTACCACCAAGCTACACCACCAGCCCCAATATGCTTTGTATGTATACATGTATATGCAGGTGCATGTGAGTGTAAAGGTAGGGGTGCACCTGTGCGCACATGCCTGAGGAGCTGAAAGGCAACCTTAAGTGTCCTTCCTCAGGCACCACCTACTTTGTTTTTAAGAGAGGGTTTCTCATTGGCCTGATTAGGCTAGGCTGATTGGCCAGGGAGTCCTAGGGATCCTCCTGTCTCTGTCTCCTCATTGCCAGGATTACAAGTGTCCCCCACCGTACTCAGCTTTTTATGTGGATGTTGGGACTTGAACTCACTGCCGCAAACACTATAACAACCAACCCCTCCTCCCCAGTCTCCCAACATGATCTTTAAATGAGAAAAACCAAATGTCAAAGATGGGCACGATAAAACAGCAACCAGTAAGTACATCATTTCCATGATATTTCTGTTCTTAGAAGTACTTTTCCATCTCGTGGCCAGAGGGCAGATTGCTTAGTTTTAGAAGTTGAAGCCATAAGGCTGAAGCCGTGGGCAGAGGCATCAGCAGTCATTACCTGAAGTTTAGAGACCTTTTCCCATGCCCTCCTCAGTCCTGGACCCCAAGACATAGATCCCTCCAGCTACTAGCATTCCACTTACATGTCATAGATGCAGTTTGGAGTGAAGGAGTGGTTCGCCTTGTGTCCTAGGGAGGCACAGTACTTGGATACATGGTTATAGGGTTCAGGCACATCAATGACTGTTTCTTCATCAAGGGAGAGAGTATTCCCATTTAGGGCCCAGTCCCTGCTGTCAACCTGCAAACACAGGAAAGTAAGGGCTACATACAGAGAATCTTTCTCTCAATAGCTCAGACTATGCCAAGAGATATTAGCTCATTTATCCTAACACCAGGGTTTGAGTGCTGCAGACACAAAACAGCCAAGACTCCTCTCCATACGAGAACAGTGCAGCCAGACAGCTCAACTTGCTGTTTATTGAATTTTCTTCCTTATATAAAAGGATTTTGATCTTTTACAGAGAAATACAAAAATATAACCAGATAAACTTGAACTAAAAATAGATGAAGAAGAGATGGTGAGATGGCTCAGTAGGTATGGGTGGTAGCAGCCAAGCCTGATGACTTTAGATCAGTCCACAGAACCCACACCATGGAAGGATAAAACCAGTTCCCACAAGTTGTCCTTTGACCTCCATTCAAGGGCTAAGGCACAAGCAGCCACTCTCAAATTAATAAACGTAGCTTTTAAAAGTTCATTAAAAACAGACGAAGATAACACAAAGGAGCACATCAAAAGGAACCAGGGATATAAGGAAAACAACATGCACTCACTCCTGCAAAGGTCCATATCTTTACTCCCTGGGAACAATCAGGGTGATCAAGAGACAGTCCCCAAATTGGTATGTTTCCCTGCCTATCACAGGACTCATCTATACCACCAGGCTTCTCGTTGGATCAGGGGAGGCCAGCAGAACAGCCTTTTGGGAGTGTTTAAAAAGGATCATGTTTTTATAAAACCTGTGGACTCTCTAGCAGATGTGTCCAACTTTTTGACATTGTGATACCATTTTGTCACATACAAAGTTCATGCTTGGGAACTAACTGCACAGTCAAGTTAAAATTTTAAAAAATTTTATTTTTATATGTTTAAGTGTTTTGCCTTCATGTATATAAGTGCAACATGTGCATGAATGCCCATGGAGGCCAGAAGAGGGTGTCAGATCCCTTGGAACTGAAGTTATGGACAATTGTTAGCCATCATGTGGGTGCTGGGAACCGAAACCAGATCCTCTGCAAGAGCAACCAGTGGTCTTAACCACTGAGCCATCTCTCTAGCTCCTCTTAATGTTTTTTAAAAAAATATTTTATCATTTTAATTTTATGTGTATGAGTGTAAGTGCACCCGTTTTGTGCAATGTCTGAGGAAGTCACAAGGCAGCATCACATCCCCTGGAACTGGAGTTACAGACAGTTGTTAGCTGCCATGTGGTGTTGGGAATCAAACTCGGGTCCTCCGCAAGAGCAGTCAGTACTCTTAACTGCTGAGCCATCTCTCTAGTCCCTCCTCTTAATGTTTTAAAAACTGATTTATTTTATTTTTATTATTTTTTAAATATTGTATTTATATTTTTATTTTATGTGTATTGAGTGTATTGTCTGCATGTATGTGAGTGCACCCGTGTTGTACAATGCCTTGGAGATCAAAAGATGGCTTTGGATTCCCCTGGTACTAGAGTTAAGGATGGTTTGTAGCCTCCATGTGGGTGCTGGGAATTGAACCCGGGTCCTCTGCAAGAGCAGTCAGTGCTCTTAACCACTGAGCCATCTCTCCAGCCCCGATTTATTTTATTTTTAATTATGTGTGTCTGTTTTGGGGCATACTAAAATTATAGAGTAATTACCTCCTAATACATGTGCTGTATAGAAAACAATGAATTTCATATTTTGACTTGGATCCCATTCACAAAGAAAAAAAATCCTGAATCCCTGACATTTCTGGTCCCAAGCATTTAAGATAAAGGATGCTCAACCTGTAACATACCCTTATCCCAAAGCCACCCTTCACATGCTGAATGCCTTGGACTTTCTGGAGGGCTGGTGAGGTATGGACACCATCTGCTTGCTTGAGTGCTTTACCATCTTTTGCCTGTCTAGCTGAATGTGTGATAGCTGTATTATTTCAAGGTATTCCCCCCTTTTTATTACATAGGAATAAGTGACAAAGCAGAAAGTTAAATGTGGAACATCAGCTATGAGCTTAATAAAAGACAGACCACAGTGGACATCACTGACTGCTAGAAGTTGCAAACTTGCCCTAAACAGCTGTGAGGTGAAGAAAATGAAACCAAAGTCATATATGAAGTTCTAGAAATATGTCAAAGACTGTATCTTAGGGGGCTGGAGAGATGGCTCAGCGGTTAAGAACAATGAATGTTCTTGCAGAAGACCCAGGTTCGAGTCCCAGCACCCACATGGCAGCTAACAACTGTCCGAAACTCCAGTTCCAGGGGATCCGACAGCCTCTTCTGTCCTCCGTGGGCATTGCACAACACGGGTGTACTTATCTACATGCAGATAATACATGCATACACATAAAATAAAAATAATCAATAAAAAATATTTTTAAAAAAGACTATCTTAAAGGCAAGGTGGTGGAGGTGGTGGTGTTGGTGTTGGTGGAGCAGGTGGTGATGGTGGAGAAGGTGGTGTTGGTAATGGTGGAGAAGGTGGTGATGGTGGAGGTGGTGATGTTGGTGTTGGTGGGAGGTGCTGGTGGTGGTGGTGGTAGTGCTATCTGTGTTCATATACCAGAGGCCAGATAACAACCTCAGTGTCATTCCTCGGGCGCTGTCCATTATTTATTTATTTTTTTTGAGACAAGATCGCTCACTGGCCTAGTAGGCTAGAGTAGCAGGTTAGCGAGCCCCAGGGACACATCTGTCTCCACTTCTTCAGCACTGTGGTTACAGTACATATCAGACCTCCATGCCCAGCTTTTTTTCTTTGGGTTCTGGAGATGGAACTCAGATCCTCATGCTTTACTGACTGAACCATCTTCCCAGTCCATTCCCTTTCCTTTTCCTTTCCCTTCCTCTTTCTCTTCCAACATAGGGCCTTGCTTTATGTAGCCCAGGCCAGCCTGGGACTCATGATTATCCCATCTCAGCATCCCAAGTGCTAGTATTTCAGGTTCATACAGGCTGGCCTGACACATCCTTATTATTCTGAGAATAGATGGTAGACAGATTGAAAAGAATGAACTCACTTTTAAATGCTGAGGCTCAAAGGGGTGTTGTTGTGTAAAGGTCAATAGCACTTGGCCCCTCCAGATCTTCCTGCTGGGGCCTCCCAAGAGCTGAAATTACAGGCATGCATTGCCACATCCCGCCTGTTTAACCTTTTAGTTGCTGACCTTTACTGATGGATGGATTGATTGATTGCATTAAAACACTTAACAAGACAGAGGCAGTTGTATGGTTTTGGCCTTAATGTAGGGATGTAGGGAAGCTTTCCTATAAAGCACCATGGCAAAGGTAATTAATTAAATAGAATTTGATTGGATCTTGATTTTTGATGTTGGATGTGGTCTAGGGCATGTCAGTGACTGTCTCATTATCCCACTTTCTTTTTTTAAAAAATTAATTAAAAAATATTTTATGTGTATGCGTGTATTGCCTGCATGTAGGTAAGTGCATCTGTGTCATGCAATGCCCATGGAGGACAGAGGAGGCTGTTGGAGCCCCTGGAACTGGAGTTATGGACAGTTGTTAGCTGCCATGTGGGTGCTGGGATTCGAACTGGGATCTTCTGCAAGAACAGTCAGTGTTTTCTAACCGCTGAGCCATCTCTCCAGCCCCTATTATCCCACTTTCTATGAAATAGTTGTGGATCCTGAAAGTAGTCTGTTTTAAAAAGGCCCTTATCAAATTGTGTGGATGTTCATCCCTTTCCCACTCACCTCTTGGTGTGTAATTCGAACACCATTATAAAAAGACATAACAGTATTGGGTCCCACTGCTACCTTGGAAAACAGTCCTTCTCCAGCACTAGAGATGAGAGAATCAGCAACATAAACCCTAAGGGAAAAAAAAGCCAAATTGTGAGTGTTTCACTGTGATATATCACTCTTGAGTCAACCACTAAAATTTCATTATGGCTATTGAATCCCAAATGACAGTTCCTAATTACCCAACAAAGGAAGGAAGGGAGGGAGAAAAATTAATCAACAGTATGTTAGCATCACAAATGGAACAAAGGGTAGTTTTATCTCTTTAACAGTGGTATTCAAAATGGAATTACTCTCTCTTTCTCCTTCCCTCTCAGAGTCTCTAGCCCAGGCTGGCCACAAACTTGCTACGTAGCTGAGGACAACCACGAATTTCTGATCCTCCTACTTCTACCTCCTGAGTGCTGGGATTATAGGTGTGTGCTACTGTGCCCAGTTTTATGTGGTGCTGGGGATGGGGGCCAGGGCTTTGTGCATGCTAGGCACACATTCTATGAACTGAGCTCCATCCCTAGGTCTCAAAACATCTTCTCTGACAAAGAGCTCATTCTTCATAGATTCATAAAGCTACTCAGTACTTGATATACCATTTAACGTTTTCATAGTTAAGGATGATTTTCAGTCTTCCTGGACAAATAAATATTCCCCAAAGTTTACTAAAGCTGTGCCCAAGTTTGTTAAAGCCAGATAACAGAGGAAGAGTATTTTATTTTTTTTTAAATTTTATGTGTAAAAGTGTATTGCCTGCATGTGTGTAAGTGCACCCATGTCATGCAATGCCTGAGGTCAGAAGAGGACATTGGATCTCCTGGAACTGGAGTTATGGAAGGTTGTTCACCTCCATGTGGGTATTGGGACTTGAACCCAGATCCCCTGCAAGAGCAGTCAGTGCTCTTAACCACTGAGCTATCCAGAGGAAGAGTATTTTAATTAAATGTCAAGATGTCACTGGAAGAATAACAAACATTTAGTATGATATATTTTAGGCTGGAGAGATGGCTCAGCAATTAAGAGTGCTTGCTGCTCTTGCAGAGGACCAGGGTTTGTTTTCAGCACCCATATGAGGCTAACAATCATCTGTAACTTCAGTTCCAGGGGGTCCAATGCCCTCTTCTAGTTTCTGAGGGCACCAGGCATGCATGTGCAGGCAAACACTCATATACATTATATATATGTATATATATTTATATTTTAAATTAAGAGTAGGTCACGATGGTACATATTTTTAATGTCAGGAGGCAGAAGCAAGTGGATCTTTGTGAGACTGAGGACAGTCTGGTCTACATAGGCAGTTCTAGGCCAGCTAGGATTACAGAGAAAGCCTGTCTCAAAAAACTAGCCTCCACCTCACAAAAACAAACAACTAACCAACCAACCAACCAACCAAACAAACAAAAAACCATTACTAGGCTCTATCTAATAAGCTTTGTCAGCAAAAGGAGTTAGAGCAGAGGTTAGCAACCTACATGTAGGTCAAATTTGGTGCTGATTTTTGTCAATAAAGATTTACTGGGACATAGGCCCCCCACCATTTGTTTAATACTGTGTCCAACTGCTGTAGCATTGCAAAGGCAGAGCTGAATCTTTGTAACAGACATTACAGGGCCTGTAGAGTCCCAGAGTTTTACTCAGTGGGCCACCACAGAAAAAGGTTCCTAACTACTGGTTTTTAAGAAAAGTACTCTTGATTATGGGCTGGAATTAATAAGAGAACCAAATGTTCTAACATGTCAGTTCTTTGGGCACTGTGATGGGATGCCCCTGTTAGGAGCTGACCCTCTGTAATTTCTGTTTATTTCATGGACTAGAAAATCTGAATTATTGCTTCTAATTTTGCTTCCTCCCCAAGACAGAATGACACATCCTGCCCCTTTGCCAGGTGACCTTGTGACAGTTCCTTCAGAGCAAGTCGGGCGTACATCCTGCACCTACTGACTTTGCAAGAAGAACACAGAGGAAAGTGCTAAGAAACAGGGCAGGTTTCTGCCAACCTCTTCAGTTTCCATTCTCTCTAGGGGAAGAATAAGCCCTGGGGGCTGTTGTTCCTTTAGTTGGAGTCTTGGAATGATAAAACATGAAACAGATCTGAGCCCAACTTGAAGCCTGGAGCCCAGCCTAGTCTGGCTGAGTCTGGTGAAGCCCAAGCAAAAATGGCTGAATCTTGGCCAACCCACAGAACCGTGAGTACAACACAAAATGCTTGCCTCTGTGAACAGCTGATTTTGGAGAGTGCTGTTATACAGAATCACAACAGAGACTGATACATATACTTTGGGCCCTGTTGTATTTTGGGGCTAACACAGAAACCCAGTCCACACCCTCTGGCACTGGGCCAGAACATCGTGCCATAAAATAGGCCATTCATTCTCTGCCTATGGCACTTTGGGTTCAACCATGTCAGTTAGACCCGGAAATGGCTTGTTTCTCAGATTGGAGCAGGGAGTAGACCAGAGGTGGGTTGTCCTACAAACTGCAAGGCAAAGAGAAAGCCAGTCTTGGGCGATGTCCTCACTCAGAAGCTGAACAGCTGTTAAAGAATAAAGAGAATCCCAGGCAGGGCACCAGCAAAAGTCACACTGAGAATCCAGTGCTGAGGTAGCCATCCTCAACAGGCTAGATATATACTGGAATGGAACTTGACTCTGGGCATGAGCTGGTATCACACATGCCATTTATAACATGTTTTTATGCTTCTCATACTTACTACAGCATGTGACTGCAGCCCAAATACTGGCTTCAAGAAACTGAAGTGAGACAGATTAGTGGGTAAAGGGACTTGTCTCCATGTCTGATGACCTGAGGTTGATCCCAAGAACCTGCATGATGTTAGGAGAAAACCAGTCCCCACAAATTGTCCTCTAATCTCCATTATGGATCCCCTGACCACACACAAGAACACACACACACACACACACACACACACACACACACACACAACACAGCCACAGAGCCACCACACACAAAGAGACACTTGATCTTTCAAGGGCATGCCTGCTTGACCCATCACTACCTAAAGCGCTCACTGTGGGATGGGACACATGAGCTGGCTTCTATATGAGAATAAAATCAGTCTTCCTCAGAATACATATGTCTTGTGCAGGGGAAAAGCATTCTTTAACAAGGGACTTGGATTGCTTGAGCAGGAGCCTGGCCTGAGCAGATAACCACAGAAGTGCATGGGTTCCCACCACCAGGTTTGCAACCTCATATAAACAGCGCACTGAAAGCCACAAGGAAAAAGTTACCTCTCAGATTCATAAGGGTCTGGAAGAAGAGCATCAGTGGAGATGCAAGAGGAAGTCGATTTATCAAAATGGTACACAGAACCTAAAAAGCAAATTGACAGGTCAGTTTAGGTGCAGAGCCTCAGCAGAACATGCAGACATTTCTCCCTGCCCACGGGACAAGAAAAGCAGATCAATACATAGATCATTCCAGTTACACTATCTAGAATAGTCAGTTCAACAGACAGTTGGGTGTACTCTGGTTATAGTTTTCAAGTCCTGTCCTGTCCTCACTTTCCTTCTCTTTGGTTGGGGGGCAGGGTCTCATCATGTTGCCCAGGTTGGTCCTGAACTTGGAATCCTCCTGCCTCAAGTTTGTGAGTGGCTGATGTTACAGGCCTGTATCATCGATCCACTTTATTTAAATCTTAATAAACAGCCATCAGATTTAACTCTTTAAAATCCCTATTTGTTGGGCCAACAACATGTCTCAGAAGGTAAAGGCACTTGCTACCAAGCTTGAAGAACAGAGGTCAGTCCCTGAGACTCACATGGTAGAGAGAACCAACTCATTCATTTAAGTTGTTCGGTGACTTCCACATGTGTACCACGCATGCATGCTCTCTCACCTCCAGCAAACACAAAAATGTGCTGGGCGTGGTGGAGCATGTTTTTAATCCTAGCACTCAGGAGGCAGAGGAAGGTGGATATCTGTGAGGTCTAAATAGTGAGTTCCAGGCCAGCCAGGGCTACACAGTGAGACTCTGTTTCAAATAACAAACAAAAACAAAAATGTGCAGGATATGACGATACATACCTGTAATCCCAGTATTCAGGAGGCTGAAGCAGGAGGATTACCTCCAGGTTAGGCCCCAGGCTGGGCTATAGTGTGAGACTGTCTTAAAAAAAAAAATTAACGCCGGAGGTGGTGGCACATGTCTGTAATCCCAATACTTGGGAGGCAGAGTCAGGTGGATCTCTGTGAGTTCAAGGCCATCAAGGCCAGCCTGGTCTACATAGTGAGTTCCAGACCAGCTGGGGCAACAGGGAGACCAAAAAAGACAAAAACAACAACAACAACAACAACAACAACAACAACAAAACCCCCAACAAAATGGGGGGTGGGGCATGGGAAGGGATGTAGCTCAGTTATTAGAGTGCTTGCATAGCATGTAAGGCTCTAGATTCAGTCCCCAGTACCACATAAGCCAGGTATGGTGGCACATACTTGTAATTACAGCACTGAAAAAAATGGAGGCAGGAGGACCAGAAGTTCAAGATCATCCTTAGCTACAAACTGAATTTGAGGCTATTTTGAGCTACATGAGACCTTGTTTCAAAAAAAAAAAAGCTTGGGTTGTGCTGGGTATGGTGTCTATAACTCCAGTACTCAGGGGGCTGAGGCAGGAGAGTTGCCTCAAGTTTGAAGCCAGCTTGGGCTATAGAGTGAGACCTTGTCTTCAAACAGAACAGAACACAACAAAACAAAACACCATTAAAACAAAACAAAATATTTCTATTTGCTCTTGAATTTTCTTTATTCAAATGACTTAAATATGCTTTGGTACTTCAAAATTTTAAGCAACACACTTTGTCATAGAATTTTCAGAGTTCTCTGATCACATCAAATTGGATAGTGGGTTTTAAATTTCTTTGTGGTTTTCTTCATACCAGACAGTCTGTAAAATCTAATAGTGGAGCTCAGCAGTTGACTCCACTATGAATAAACACTCAGCCTCACCAGGATGAAGAGAACTGCACTGAGCCATATTAACAAAGTCATTTTACCTCTGTTGGAGTGGCTCAGAAGCCAATCCCTGAAGCTAAGGTATATAACCATCCTAGAATTACTACTGGCTCTTGGCAAGGGATGAGCCTGGGAGAATCCTCACAGAGCATCGACAATAGGGTGTTCTGAGTGCTAATAAGCAAAGAAACAAAATTTAGACCTGGAGGGCTAACTCCTGCAAAATAAGTTATTTTTAGCATTAAGATCACTAATAATCCCACTAAACAACTCTTCAATAGTTACCCTTGGCTACCAGATTCCTTTTGTGCTTTGTTTTAAAAATATAACTGAAACCCAAATCAATGCCTTAAACTCAAAGTTAAGAGAGTCCAAGTCAGTCAGTGACTAGGAAACAAACCATTAAAGTACTTCAAAGGGAGAAAATTTAGCTCAGGTAATAGGTTATACAGAGACAGAAGAGCTGTGAAGCCAAACAGGGGCCCAGAAGGAACCTAGAAGCACGTAGGAACAGGAAGCCTCTACCCTAAGCCAGGGACACACATACACTGCCTGTGGCCAGCAGCCTCCCTCTGGCTTAAACCCACTTGAGAGTCAGTTATACAGGATCCTGGGAAATGGAGCAGCCACCTGCAATGTAAACAGTCTGAGAAATACGAGGGACAGATGTGGGGGCACATGAGGAGGGATGATGAATCCAGGAAAGGAATGTTGCTTAGAAAAGGAAAAACAGAAACACCACTACACACTTTTTAAAAAGCCAATTTGTATGTGTGTATGGTGCTAAGCTTAGGGCAGGAATGCATGCTAAGAAAGCACTCTCCCAGTGAACTATATCCCTAGCTCCACACAAAACTTTTGTGTGGAATTTATGTTTTAGTGTGTGGCATTCTCCTATCCTTAGACCAAAATTGTCATCACAATTGTATGGTGACACCAGCTATGTGGAGAAGACTGCTCTGTTGTGTGCCCACACCCACAGTCTGCATCTCTGAAGTGCTGAGCATCATTCCATATGCACGTGGTCCCATCCTCCACTCCACAGGACAGGCCTGGACTCCTATCCTCTCTAGTCTGTTCTATGATCTTTGATTAGAATATGCTCATTCGCTCAGTGTGATGGCTCACGCCTAACCCCAAAGCTCAAGAGGCTGAGGCAGGAGGATCACTGAGAATTTCAAGGTCAGCTTGGGCTACACAGTGAGTTCACATGACCCTGCAATACTCAGTTCACTGTGTAGTCAGCAGTTCAATAACTGTACCTGCCAGAAGTGGATGACTGATACAAAAACGGCACAGTGCCACGTCTTCGGGTTCTTCAGAGTCATGTGCAGCAGCCCTGGTTCCTGATCTTTTTTTTTTGAAAGTAAAATTTTTTATTTTGATTGATTTCTCAAGGTAATGCCAGTTTTTAATGGCAAAAATTTCGTTCCATTGAAGCTTCATAATGCTACAGAGAATTACTACTTTTCCAGGAAGTAAACAGCTGGAATGAGAAAGCACAACTTCCTAGCAGCAGGGCAGCTATAGACCCAGGAGGCCTGAGACTTTTATATTCATATGGCAGGAACATTTATTAGCTGGTGATGGAAGTGAGAATCAGGGATGAGACGTGGACACTAAATAGAGCACTGTATGGACTGTAACAATAACAAACAAACCAAATGTATGGGTTTTAAGGAAAACTATAGAAAAGGGAACTGAATATTTCATTCAAATGCTGTTTTAGAGCCTTTCTGTATATACACATACATAGGTGTCTGTGTATATATATATATTCCAAACATGTTTTATGCAGATAAATGTTTCTCAAAGCTGGATCCAAAGCTACAGTAGAACACTAAGCATTGCCTTTTGTTAAGACCATCTACCTGAATTTTCAATTTCTTTAAACTTAGTGCATTGGTTTTCCAAATATAATTACCTGATATTTAAAAAAATATTTTATTATTTTTATTTTATGTGTGTGTGTGTATCGCCTGCATATAGGTAAGTACACCCGTGTCATGCAATGCCCGAGGAGAACGGAAGAGACTGTCAGATTCCTTGGAACTGGAGTTATGGACAGTTGTTAGCTGCCATGTGGGTGCTGGGATTTAAACCCAGGTCTTCTGCAAGAACAGTGTTCTTAACTGCTGAGCCAGCTCTCCAGCCTGGTCTTTTTAAAATTTTCATTTTATGTGTGAATGTATTGCCTGCATGTATGGAAGTGCACCCGTGTCATACAATGCCTGTGAAGGTCAGAAGAGGGCGTTGAATTCCTCTGGAACTAGAGTTCTGGGTGGTTGTTGGCCACCATGTGGGTGCTGGGAATCAAACCTGGGTCCTCTGCAAGAGCAGCCACTGCTCTTAACCACTGACCCATCTCTCCATCCCTAGCCTGATATTTTTTTTTTATAGATATAAATCAAGTAGGCATTATTTCTTAAAAGGGTTTGTAGGTTAAGTGATATTTCTCTAAGATGCTATGCATATCAAACTTAGGACAGGCTGTATAAAGAATTATTACTAAACATATCAAAAAGGGCTATAATATAGTTGGATATTCTTCCTCATAGTAAATGTTTTATGATTGCCAGTTTATAAATGTTGAAAATGCCCAAGAAAAGACTTCACTTCATAAGTACATTTTGATTAAATATATGGCAATAAATCTTCACACTGTAGCTATTAGTATTTTTTTTAATGGGATGTAATACCTACAAACCATTACTTATATAATAAAGTACAAAATTATTGTGGTGGTTTTAGAAATCTTTTTTTCCAGGTGTAAAGACTACAAAAAATTCCCCCAAATTAGAGAATACTGAAAACATTAAATGTTTGACATCTGACTTTATAGTATTTCTATTTTACCCTGAAAGATAACTTAAAAAAATATGACCTTAGAACAAATCACCTGCTAATATACAAAAACTGGCGAGAGCAAGAAAAATTTTCACTGGTTATGTGGAATTTTTGTAAATGCTTTTTCCCCCCTAAACTATTAGAAAAATGTTCAAAGACAAAAGCAAAATAAAATACATAGTAGTCCCTAAACTATTTTGAAGGCAGGAAGCTTACTGACTAAGCTAAAATATTTTCTCACTCTTAGTAATCACCCTCCCCTCAAATGCCCTTTAAAGAGTCAGGAACAGTGGAAATCAAAGAATATCAATTGATGGTCAAGAGCAGAAAAATCTCTAGTGCTGAAAGATATAGTAAAAAGCAGCTTCTTGGGTGGCATAATCAGGTAGTTTATAATTCATTATGAAGATTTCTCTTTTCTATTATGGGGAGAATCTGCTCCATTTGATGTGGCTGTTCCATTAACACCATTTTCTGTCCCTTTCGTAGAAGATCTGCCTCTGGTCGCT